ATATATATGATTTAATTTCATTTAAGTAAGTGAATTATGCGATATGTATTTAAAATTATTAATATTAATTTAAAGACTTTAAGTTATTTATCATACTTTTATAGCTTATAAATACGATCAAATGATCTCTACCTTCTTTTTTCCACCAAAAAATCATGATTCTAATCGTGCAGCTTATAGGTGGTAAAGTAAGTTGTAAATTATCTAACATTAGCAAACTGTTTCCGAAAATTTTTATCAAGGAATGTATAGAGGGAATAAGAAGGCTGATTATTCCCAACAAAGTTACCAGCACTCGAAAATTGCACATTAATTTCTGCCGAGGATTTCGTGCGACCTTAGGCCAAAGTCCAATCAAGTTTAAAGTAAAACGGTTTAGTTTCACTGCCCATTCGAAATCTACCTGCGGAAATCTTGATAAATACAAAGCTCATAATATAGAAGGATTATACAATTTTTATAACATACTGAAATACACATTCATAATTAGACTAAACGGACTGCGTAATAATTTAAAATAAAATATCTTTAAAAACTTCAATTTAGTTCAGGTTAGTCATGCAAGTATAAAGATTATTCTAGAAATAATAAATAATTATTAACAAATATTAATAAATTTATATTAATATTAATATTAATAAACAATTATTATTAAATAATTATTAAACAAAAATTCAAGTTGGTGTAGTTAGATATAACTAACGTTGTTACAATAGTTCGATATGATCATAAGAAACACAATTCACTGCACAAGACGATAATCCAGATTTTTTGTTAACGGTGTGCAAAATGAGGTATAGATTATTATTATTATTATTATTATAAATGATACCATTGATTGCATGCAATTGTAAAATAAAATACGTCGTTAAGATACTTTTCACATATAATTACAATAATCAAAACCATGGGCACCTTGATATCCGTCATATTTCGAACTTTCCATATTCAATGCTATCTAAAGACTGGCGTCTGTTCCTCTTTCATGAATCGACGTTACCTCCTATGCCGCGAAGAGCGTTTCTTGCGCATGCTTATACCACTTTTCGAAAGTATCGAACGATCAACTTGTAGTAAAGTATTTTAAATATTCTGCCTTTACCGTCGTTTAGAATTTTTATCAAGTTTCTAGTATTGAAACATGCGCGAGTAAAAAATTGCACGATAACCAGTGGATATGCTTGATGAAAAAACGTACATAAGTGCACCAGTTATATTTCCAGGCTTCTATAATCCTTTGCTGCTTATAACTATTTTTTATAGTAGTAGACAGTATAGAGCTTATCATGCATTGCTCTAATGATGTTAATTTTTCACAATAAATTTTTAAAAATTGTATTGTTTGTTTTTATAAGTATCTTTAATATAATTGTTATTAAATAAATAACTTTTAAAATATTTTAAATTCTTATCAAGTTATCCAGATTTAATAATACATTATATAAAATAAATGGTTAATTTAAATAAATAGCTAGCCTGGCCAAAAATTCACGAAAAAACAGGTATGTCTAAATAACGATTTTCTTAAGTTTATTTAAATTCTATATTTGTACCACTATTAAGAAAATTTTCCGTTGATTCCATTCAATTAATGCATTAAAATATATATTTATTTGTAAGTGACATATTAATAGCTGTATAATAGCATAGTTGAACTATAGTTTTCTACAAAAAAATTGCATAATATAGGAAAAAATTTACATTTCCCTCACTTTTTCTATCATCTTTTCGTTGTGTGCAAAACGGATATATAACCAACTGATGTTTTTATTAATTAAAATATATATTTTGATAAAAATATGATTATTTAACAATATAAACTTAATAGATAAATAACTGTGAAGTTCAAGATTTTGAATACATAAAATATAAAATTTAAATTTTAGATACTAAAACATAATACAGATTGCACAATAAACTTTAATAAAAGTTTAGTAATGCCAAACGAGGTTATAATATGATACTTATAATTTAACATGAAATTATCTTACACTGCAAAATGTAGCCATTGTGACAGGAGATATTTTTCCGGCGGTGAGATAAATTGGTTTAGAGCTTCTTGTCATTAAGATCAACAAATCTTTTGTGATTTTTTGATCCATGGTGTACCATTTATTACTGTATGTAGCATAATATATTTTATTACACTTGAAAGTATTAGAAGCATTATAACATAAATTATTGAACAAATTGTCCCATAACTAAAGTACTTACATATCTATTTGTAGAAATTGATCGTAGTCTGCGTAGTAACGAAAGAGTTAAAAACATTTCTTGTTTTTTTGTTCGTCCAAGTAGCCGCTGAAGTAACTTCGATAACGAGTGAATAAGCGTGGGTGTGATGACACGTATATGTACTGCCATATTCCCACGCACGCAAAATCGATTTTATTACGATGCATACAATTGCTATTTAGGGAAGATTTGGGTCCACAAATTGAAAGAGAATTAATTCGCTACTTTCAGTATCATATTAAACGGAAACGTCTCTGTACGATGCAATTCCTATAATCCGTCTGCCTACAGTGAATTTAAACATTATAATAATGATATTTCATAATAATAGTGATTGCCATAAGTATTTTTCCATCGACTTATGTATAGATACGCTCGCGAGAGCATTCACGACTACAAACAATACTAAAAAATAAAACACATAATCACAAGCATGTAAAAATCTGATAAATTGCATACGAGATATTTTTAAAATTATGAACCAAATTTTTATGCATGCAGGATGTTTATTATGATCAGAACAGATATCTATAGATTACAATTTATTTAATTTTAGTTAAATTTACAAGTTTTATTATTACTTAATAGAATTTTCCACGCAAATAATGCAATAAAATTTATTTATTTGCAAATAACATTAATACTTCTTAAGCCAAAGTATAATTCTACGAAAAGTTGCATAATATTTTAGAAAGGAAACTTCACATTTTTCCCATTTTTTAAATCAATTTTTTGTTGAATGCAAAACGGATATATAACCAACGGACGTTTTTACAAACTGAAAGACATATATTTTAATGGTTGCAGATTAAATTAACAGTATTAAATTAATAGCATGAGCTTAGATATGTAATTGCAAAGTTTAAGATTGTACATATATAGATTAAAATGAGAAATTTAAATAAAATAAACTAGCACGCTCGTATAAATATAACAATTGGTAAAGGAAAGGCCAATAATCGAGCAATAATGGATGTTCCATTGTACATATATGTGATTAATAAGTACATAATTTAACATTTATTATTGCTCGATTATTGGCCTTTCCTTTAGGTATATAATTGCGAAATTTAAGATTGTACATATATGTATAAATAGATTAAAATAAAAAATTTGAATTATATATATTAAAATGTAGTACATTGTATAATGATTTTTAACAGATTTGCAGTTATACGAAACAATATTTTAATGCAATAGTCAAACATTAAAATATCTTACACTACAAAAAGTGGCCATTGTAACAGGAGAAATTTTTCCAATAGTCAGATAGATTGGTTTAGAACCTCTTATCATTAAGAACAACAAATCTTCTGCAATTTTTGGATTTAGGGTGTACCATCTATTATTAAATGCCGCATGATATATTTCATTGCACTTGAAAATACCAAAAGCCCTTTTACATATCAATTATTATATACATTGTTACACATTTAAATAGAAATTGGTCATTACCATATAATAGTGACTATAGAGTTAATTATACAACATTTAATTTGCACATAAAGAAAATATATATACAACTAACTTGGGACATCAAAATTTCACCGAGAGCGCAATATAAACACATATTTGCAAATATGTTAAAAACGACAGAAACAAAATATACCATGTGAGCGAAGGACATATCGTTTCCTTCGTCGAATAGCTAATTAATTTATGAAATAAATTAAAAGACATAGTTAATTTTATTAACACTAATTTGAAATTTTATAATAACATGCCATGTGAATATAATAATATTGTATCAGAATGTATTTAATACTAATGTATTTATTAATTTATGTCAATTTTTTTAAACGATTTCTTATCCAAACTTTGAGTTTCAAAATACTTACGCTAATCATCCGAAATCCATAGAAAGCAAAAGTTACCGTAAAATATGCAAATAAGCAGAGAAGTATTGTGCTATATGTATCTTCAATAACATCAATAGCTCTATAAAAGACGTTTTATGTATTAAATATATTCTATCACATATTTAATATGGATTTTATATACTTATATATCTTACAGAAAACAAACCTAAGCAAACGGATATGCTTTACTATGCAGCATTTCAGAACTTCGTGATAATTTATGTTTTTATCCAAATATTGCAAGTATTTCTTGAGAATGTCTAACTGACCGCATATATGAAAAACCAGAAGACTAAGAAAATTGTCTATTGCAGTATAGGCCGTCATGGCGATAGCTACACTGATGGCTTGATTAATAAATGTCAATTCGTACTGTGGCCTTTTTGTTATATCGTAAATGTAATGAGTTTGTACAGGCAGTGGCCTTCCTGGATCAGTAATGTTGGGAGTGAGTCTCATCGATATTCCAAAAGCAGGCAGTACTGTGACAAAGAAGCATGCTAAACCCATTACACAGTAGGAGCAAATAATAATTATACGTCCAGTCTGTGCTCTTCGAATCATCAAGCTTCTTTCTTGATCACTTTTTAACTTTATCCAATCCTTCGCGATCATATTCATAATCGGTATAACAGCTTAAAGGTAAACAATTTACAGCGTTGCTGAATTAAAATATCTTAAGTTCAACCTTAAACAGTAAAAGGCACAGAAAAAAATTCAACAAAAATTTGAAACAATGTCACTGTTTTCGTAATTAAAAAAGAATATATTATAATTATAAATCAGTAAAAATATTAATTCCGTAATCTACGAATCTTAATGCAATGAATTATATCATTAATGAATATATAATGAATTTATTATTATTTGTTATAATATTTCTATGTACAAAAGATATAGCAAAATCAAATTTTTGAAAAACATTTTAATTAAATGTTGTATATATTTAATTTAAAAAAATCATGCATACATGTATGTACGTAATGTTTGAAATATAAAAAACATTTAAAATAAAAATAACTAATGAATTATTTAATAAATATACATGTTCTACTGTCTATATAGAAACAAAAATATATATGATTTAATTTCATTTAAGTAAGTGAATTATGCGATATGTATTTAAAATTATTAATATTAATTTAAAGACTTTAAGTTATTTATCATACTTTTATAGCTTATAAATACGATCAAATGATCTCTACCTTCTTTTTTCCACCAAAAAATCATGATTCTAATCGTGCAGCTTATAGGTGGTAAAGTAAGTTGTAAATTATCTAACATTAGCAAACTGTTTCCGAAAATTTTTATCAAGGAATGTATAGAGGGAATAAGAAGGCTGATTATTCCCAACAAAGTTACCAGCACTCGAAAATTGCACATTAATTTCTGCCGAGGATTTCGTGCGACCTTAGGCCAAAGTCCAATCAAGTTTAAAGTAAAACGGTTTAGTTTCACTGCCCATTCGAAATCTACCTGCGGAAATCTTGATAAATACAAAGCTCATAATATAGAAGGATTATACAATTTTTATAACATACTGAAATACACATTCATAATTAGACTAAACGGACTGCGTAATAATTTAAAATAAAATATCTTTAAAAACTTCAATTTAGTTCAGGTTAGTCATGCAAGTATAAAGATTATTCTAGAAATAATAAATAATTATTAACAAATATTAATAAATTTATATTAATATTAATATTAATAAACAATTATTATTAAATAATTATTAAACAAAAATTCAAGTTGGTGTAGTTAGATATAACTAACGTTGTTACAATAGTTCGATATGATCATAAGAAACACAATTCACTGCACAAGACGATAATCCAGA